GAATATCTCATTGGCTGATTGTAATTTAATAAACTAATAATGCTCTAATTTTTTACTAAACCTGTCTCTAAATTTTTAATTTTGTTGTATTGTTTAAATGTTATTTAATATAGAATAGAATATAGAATTAATCACACACACATGTTTATATTATAGTAATTATTCTATTATATAGGTGTGACAATCTTTGTTTATAGAAAAACCAATCACTTTTACAACATTTTGCTAATTACATTATTGATTAGAGTGATTAAAATTAAATCTACATGTATATACACACGATAGTCACACATATACATGTGACTTCTTATGTTTATCAGAGTCCATTCATTTCCGATGCAGAAAAAAAGTTTATTTTGGTTGTATGTTATGCGAAAGTTCCATTCTGAAATATGAGAATAAATATTGTCTAAGAGTTTCACTTCTTCAATGGAGATATTTAATAGTTACAAGAACTTTCTGAATCGTACCTACTAATCATCTAAATTGTATCTACTAATCATGTGGCACATGGCAATGGATGTTGTAACGTTGCGTGTGATTATTTTATTTCATAGAATATCTTTCAGTATTAAATTATACGAGATTGTCTATGCACATTTATAAATCAAATGTTTCAATATTTGGAGGCTTGACAAACCACTCTTCCCTTTCAAATCCTGCTCTATTTAATGAATGTGAATACTACCAGTATTACCACTATCACTGCTAAACGCGCTTGGAATTAGCTACGATTGCATATCATTAACCCAGTTTCCAAACTAGTCATCAAACGAGTCTCGTTGTAGGTATACGAAGAAGGATGTTACGAAGTGTGGAAAGTTTTTAGTCTTAATGCACCTGCTCCTCTTTTATGTTAATGCAGGACGTTAAAGTAACTGTTTGCTTAATGTTTAATGGCTGTTAAGTTACGCGTCATAATAAATGAATTCACAGAATGACGCAAGTACGTCGATAATGCGATACAACGCGTATTCACTCTAATTTCATAATTATAGTTCAATAATATTTTCCACTGCTGTGGTGAAATGGTGCAGCGGGCGGTCCGCGAAAATTAAGTTTCACAACTTTTATGCTCGAAACTGGTGAAACGAAACGACTTATCGCATCCCCGCGGTAATTATCTCGATAAACGCAAAGTTTTACCGTTTTACTCTCTTATTTCCTTTCCATATCCGAGAAATGATATATTACATAATGTCAAGTGTATATTTTTACGACCACACCTAGGTAATATCTGTCGGTTGTAGATAAGAGTAATCGATAAAGACGGACAACGTGTGACGTTTCACCTATACTTGTCCTAATACCTTTATTTGTTTTTTCATAAGGATATATTTCTAGCCCTTGAGATCTAAAAAATAATAACAGTTTGTTCTGAATCAAGTGAAAATGTATTTAATTGAGGCGAAAGACATTATATTAGTGACCCGACTCGAGCCACCACGACACATGATACGCGTCTTTTTCTTGATGAGTTTTATTTGATATCATCGGATACAGGATAGTGGAAGATGTCGACAGACGACAAGAGAAACCGGTGTAAGCGATATTCCGCGTGTTGTCATCATCGGTGTCGACTACCCCGTTGCTGCGATATTACTGCGCGTATATAGTTGCATGAATTAACGAGGTAAAACAAGATTTATAGTGCAGTGAGACGGATTTAGAACTCTAGCAATCCTAATGGAAACAATATTTAAATCCTTATAAGAGCAGTGAAATTTTGATAGAATATAATCTATATTATTTAGCAAACAAAATGAATACTTTTCTTATATTTATATAAACTATAATTTATTTCTACAAATATTTAATAGTGGAGATAAATCTGTTTCACGAACTACGAATCAAGACAGGAAAGAAGAGAAAAAAACAGTAACAGGATTATTACCATTATTCGTGACGATTTTAATAATGACTAAAAAATCGTTTAAATCGTTAGATATAAAACGCCTTGATTTTTAATATACCAAATGACATGCAAATTAGCGTTTTTTCTTCGTTGCCGTGTATAATTTCACATTAAATCGGTTTAGCAAAGGAAACATTGCGTTGCGATATACGTTCCATAATGCTCGAACAGGAATTCAAGGGCCAATTATCGCGCCGCAGGTGCAATGCCGACTGCGACACGACGAAAAATGAAAACGATTCGTGTTTCACGTAACAAGGATTAGCGATAATGCTGCGGGTTGTCACTTCCGATTATCAGTTAGAGAGAAAGAGAGGATGTTCGCCTCTTACATAAATCCGAATCACATTTAAAAGAATACTTCTTTATTAACGACGCATTCCTATTTATTTTATGGATGCGAGTGAAAAAAGACATTTCTCATCATTCAATTTCGCATTAGACTTATACGAATTGCAGCAATTTCGAAACCTTTCATTATGCAAAATTTGCGCAATTAAGTGTCGCTTAACATCGTTTAGATGTCGACAATAAATATGAGATCACTGTCAGAGTTCATTATTAATTTATCGTGAGGCGCCGCACTTCATCGTCTCCACCATCGATGCTGTGGAAAACATGATCGAGCACCAACGAACAAACCAACACGCCCGTGGTGGCACACGGTAACCTTTTTTCTGACATTTCTGCCTCATGGGTTGGTTTATTCGAAAGGTCAAACCGTTGCGCTCTCGAATATCTAACGCGGTCGCGGGAAGGAGAAAGAAAGCGCGGAGTAAAGAGAAAAGAGAGAAACGTGTGCAACGGTTCTGACACTCTTCTGCCGGGTAATCTCCTCTTCCTGTCGAAGGTCGGACGCAAGTCAAACGCCCGTTCGCCGAACCGTGTCGTGGGTTTGGAACATCTTAGCCGGAGTGCGTATCGAGTAGTTGGTCGACCGCTGGTGCGTTGCAGGTAGTCACCCAATCAGAGCGAGAAGGAAACAAAAGAAAGGTGAAAAGAGTTATCGCCCCGTGAGATCGAGCCTACATCCTGTATCCCAACTGGAAAACCGGACAGAACCTTGGTCCGGCATGCAATAATTATTAGTCGATTGTTCGGACCTCGTACTCTCTTTTCTACCTTCTACTACCGGCATCTTCTACCGGCATCAGGGTCTCCCCGTTTTCGCGCGAATCTCGTTTCAGATTCTCAATAGTCTCTCTCGTGCTTCGTGGCCCGAAAAATCATGGATCGATGAATAAAGAGGTGCCGGAGGTCACAGAACGCGCTTCGCCATTACCATCGTTTCTCCGTTGACTCGCGAAACGTCTTGTTCTGCTTTTCATATTTCATTATTCGCGCCGCGCGAAATCGTCCTTGCCCGACTTCTCGCCTTTCAAGAATACGTTCGACGTCGCGCACCCGTTGGAATTTAATAACATATCCTCGCGCATATATACATCGATCGTATTCAACGAGCGTGACTCTTCTACATTCTCGCGAAAGCGTATATATTGTTTGCGACCTTACCCTGTACATAAGAGTGGCACGGTTCTCTCCTTTATGAGACACCGATCTCTCAGTGGTTCAACATACCGATCCCGCGCGAACTGATGGTTACATACAGCCCGACAAGTAAATCTTATGCGTTCAATATATCTCCACGTCGTTTGGAAGGTATGGAAAGGATTGCTCGTAACGCGTCTCCGTGTCATTTAAGAGTCATGCTGCACGTAATTCAGGGAAAGTCACACGCTCGTAAATCAGTCTGGGTACGGGTACCGTTAGATTTGCAATGATAATCTCATGGTAATGTATGCGATTCGCTCGAGCAAACGAACGAGAAAATAATTAATAACCCCGGGTAATCCGAGTTCGCCGAACTGTCAGTAGCGGATATTACGATCCTTGGGGGTTTATGAGTTTGCGACACACACAGTAAAGAGTTTACAAAAACAGCATTTCTTTCGTTCGGTATCTCGTTAGCCCTCTTCCTTCGATTTCCATACCTGTGATAGACAACGTTTTATAACTCTGTTTTATGAGAACGTAGATGTGGTTATTAAATGTTTGAATGACATAATTCACGTTGCGATGGCGCTTACGGTTATAAATGTTCTACATCAAGATTTTATATGACTTGAATAACACGAAGCGTAAATGGTTTGTAAAGTAGTTGTAGAAATTATACTAGAAATATAAATGTAATTTTGACGATATAAAATTTGTACATCAAATATATGTATATGGCGATTAATATGTGTGTATTCTTTTCTTTGGTATAATACTTCAATGTACTATTCTGCCGATTATACGTTTTGTTCTCATTCGAAAGAAATTACGGAAAATTACTGAAAATTATATGGAACCTATCTATGTCAAGGAAGCGAGACGAGCCAACAAATCACAAATTATGTTGGCAATACAAAAGATTCCAGATTGTGCGTGATCGTTGATGGATACGCATAAGAGAAGCTCCACAGAGCGATTTTCAAGATCAGTTGCACGGTGCTTCGGATTTCCGGACGATCTGTCGATCAGTCTCACAAGCCGGTATCGATCACGCAGAGTAAGGTGTACTTACAGTTACCTCTAATTCAATTGATCGATCGTGGGATAAGCGCGATGTACGGCGGGACATTGCGGATACATGGATTATAATGATGATGCTGTATCTAGCAACGGAGGCGGCTATTTACCATTCAATTACTTTACAATTACGGGATCGCGTGTGCCCGTATCTTAAATTACGCGATGCCATTTTAGCAACAAAAGCTTTAACCCGTTCAAGACCTTTAATAATTGATAATCACAGAATGAACGACGTAGGAAAAAATCATGGGCTCGTGTCTCCAAAGATTAACAAGTTCTGACAATAAAAACGAACCTTGATGGTACCATTGATGGCGATCGTTACCATTAATGGTCTCAAGAAATTAAAATAACGAAGTTGAAATTACCGTTATGCATAATCACGCAACTACTTATAACTGATTAATTGACCGTGACAGTCAATAATAATTTAATAATAGTTGATATAATTGACAAAGACGTTGAGTATGTATATATATGTGTATAAGAAGATTGTTACAATCAAACTTACCCTTGGTGAGAGTGCGGAGGTGCGGGTCTCGGCGGAGGCGGCAAGGATTTTCTACCCGACATATTCTGCCGTGGTGCTAAAGGTGGTGGCGGCGAACTAGGAGAATCCGTGCTGAATTTCTCCATCGGACATTGAGGCTGAGGTTTCTGTTTAGGTATATCAACGTACTTAGGCGGTAGTGCGTAATAACCATGCGTAGTCCTCTGCGTCACGTCATTAGGACGTTGATGGTGATTAGGAACATATTTCGGGGGTTCATGATACTTTTGTGGGCTTGACGCCGAGGGGAATAGCTTTGAGCTAGCTTCATATCCCGTTTTCACCGGGCTGCTAATGGAAAAACTGTGATTTCCGCTCTTCAGGTATTTGGACGGACTCTTCGCGACCTCTGTCACTGGCAGATAATTCGGTCTCGATGGACTCGCAATAGCATTCTTATCTACATTTTTAGGCACTTGAGGCTGTGGTCTCTGACCTGAAGAAGATTCTAATCTCTGACCAGAATCGTTTCGTAATAAACCAGACGCGTCGATACGCGTCCCGTCAACTCGCATCGATTCCTGCCGAATTATCCTTGGCTCCACGGGAACTTGCGGGGCAGGTCTCTGATTCCCGGAATCGCTGTATCTTTGCGATATGAGATCAGGTAGTTGCGCCGGAGGTCTGGTTGACAAAGATCGCTCCTCGGATAATCTCCTCGTCGGGGCTATCCTCCCATTCACCATAAGTTTTTGAGTAGAAGGATATCTCAAACTGGAACGTCCCGTGACTACCATCCTGTGCGTGGCAAAACCGGCCGAGACTCCGTTCTCCAGTACCATTTCGGAATCCACTTGTTTCAGTGCCGCGGCGGATCTCACGAATTGATGCTGTTCCTGTTCCTGCACGTCTGTTTTCGTCGAATTCGGCGATGATTTGCCAGTGGGCTTATCGTGATCTCTCTTGGTGTTGTGTTTCGATCTTTTCATGGAATGTCTTTCCGACTTATGTCGTTCGCATGACCTTTCACGACTGATCTTTGCCGTTTCCTCCGTCTGGTGGTGAATGTTGTTAGATTTACGCTCCGTGAAACAATCGTCGCTGAGCTCGGGTGGTGGGGGTGGCAATGGATCGTCGCAATCGTGGACCTCACTCTCTGTAACTGTCGGCGGCGATGGTGGTGGCAAGTCGGGGCTGGGTATGCGTTCATTGAAAGCGCTTCTCAGGTGTGGCTTTTTAGGCGGTCTCTCGGGCACCCAGTCGTCTATTGATATGGCTGGTCCAACTATCACAGGACCTAATAAATCCGTGGAGAGACTACTGCAACTGTTGCTATGTTGATGCTTAGGGCTTGGCAAATCACCATTTCCTTGATTCTGAGCTCTACTAACGTTTTCTCTCCACGTTCCGCTGGCATAATCTGATGCTGAACTGGCTCTTCGGGATGAGGATAGTCTCGGTCGAGGAGGAGGCTGCGGCGGTGGACTTTGAGGACTCTGAGAAGTTGGCGCAGGACCTAGTGCTAACTGAGGTTCCGATCGCCAAGACGCTTGATGATGTCTTTCATAGTAAGATAATAGCGCTTTCTTCTGAATAGCTTTCAAAGTAGGATCGGACACCCTATGACGCTTCTCAGGATCCAAATAAGTGTAACGCATTTGTTGCTGTTGTTGCTGCTTTTCCAATTCGTTAATGCGTTCAGCTACTGAAAGCTGCGGTTGTGGCGGTGAATTTAAGGTTATTCTAAAAAGAAAAGAAATGTTGCACATACTATAGTTTATGATCATAATTATTACAAAGATGTATAATAATTGTAGAAAAATATATATATGTCAATGTACCTTGAAGATTGCGTGGATTCTTGCGGTTGTGTTGTACTGATTGGATAAAGTTTTCGTTTGCTCCGTTCACGGTCCAAATACAGTACGCTTTCCGAATGATGTCGTTGAGGAGTCTGTACTCTAGCACTGTGAGCGATGAGCTGCTTGCTACACTGGATTCCATTAGTTTGACTAACGTCAGACATCGAACCATGTATAGGGTTCCAATTTTCAGAATTCTGCGGACTCGCTGCTCCAGCTTGCTGTCGCGTAGGGCTTTGCGGCATAGATTGAGCATACTTGTCGTTCTCGAGTCTGCTCGAATTGTCCCACTGATTCGTTTGTGATCTATCATTCGGTGAATCATCGTCGAGGTTGGATTCCTGCCACTTGCTGTCTCGAATCGTTGACGTTTGGCAGATATCATTTATCGACGCGGATGTCGTACAATGACCGATCACCGCTGGCAAGCTAGGCCTACCTTGTCCCTGCTTGTTTCGGTCGTTCATTGAAGATTGCCATTTGTCAATGCTGTGCCTTGCTTTCGCCGGCGGTCCTATTCCAGATGTACTGACATCACTCATAGAACTCTGCCACTTTTCGTGACAACCATTGCTAGATTTTATAATCCCTCCGTTTACGCTACTAACGTCTGACATAGATCCATGATGCCATCGATCCGATACTACTTGGCGAGGAGGCATACCACTCGATACGCTAACATCCGACATCGAACCGTGCCATTTTAAAGTTTCGCTACTAGAAGCGCTACCACTAGACGTAGTCACTACGCTGTCTCTACCCTCTCGAGAAGTATCTTCCCAAGACGCCGTGGGCCTTTGTGCTACCGCTTCGCTGTCTCTCCTTAATCTGATAACAAAAAGCAATCTCTCACTACAAAAACATCGCATGGTATTTGATGTTAATAAGATGATGTATAAAAACAACCTTACCTATCGAGAAATGGCGTGTTCGTCGTAGAATCTACGCTAGATACATAACTATGGTATCCTTCGGATTGCGCGTAGCTAGCTTGTTGAGAATGCTGCACTCTCGTATATTCCTCAAGACCCGCTTGCGTTAAGGTAGTTTCGTGATAGAGGTCCACCTAAATGAATAAATTCGAAATGAGACAACAAGAAAAAGTCATATCTACAGCTGTTAAACATTGCATGTTTTTTTCTTATTGCATTCTTAGGCTCAAAATATTATTCGATTTAATCTTCTTACCTGAGGTACCTGAGGGTCCTGGTAGCTTCTTACATAAGCTTCCAGATCAACGTGACTCAAAGTCTGAGACTGCTGTTCTCGTTCTGGTGGTGATGGAACCACGTATTCCGCATCTCCCAAAGCTTTACCTTCACGATCCACACGCGGCCACAATCTCGGCTCCTCTTCAACACTACTTCTGTTGCGTGACTCGTAAGTCTCGGCTGGGATCTTCTCGCAACGCTCCATTACCGTCTTCAACTGCAATATTCAATTTTTGCAATGTAATAGAAAATATGCTTAGAAAGTAGCACTTGCCAAAGTAATTTTTGTTTCAGACTTTACATTCACAATATAAGTGTAACGCAGAAAATGAGATAATTAATAAAATACTTATATAAATTCATGCAATTGAAAATTGAAAAATATCTTTGCACTGGCCTGTGCATAACGCCTGTTATTAGTAACGATTAGCTTTCAGCTGCGATATTCTATGACTCACGATCTTATTCACTGTCGCATTTCCTCGACAAGAGAAATAATAAAAAGATCTTGATCTTAAAATAGATCAACAGGGAGCTAATTGCGTGCGTACTAAATTAAAAGTCGCGCCGATCTAATAAAACTTGATAATCAATAAAAAAGATATTATAACTTGGGCTAACTATCAGCATTTTTTGTCTGTTTTCTTAACCCACAATCTTTTTTTTACGTGATACTGGGAGCTGCTGGTATATACCGAAATTTACGGTACGATGCGGGTCAGACCATCAAAATACCACGACCTACTTCTGAGAAAGCCAGTAGCACGCTGGCGATTATGTCACCGAGAGAAAGGAGGGTGCGGGTGTGAGAGATTAATTGCGTACGCCGTTTTAGGGCGCAGCACAATATATACACCAAGGTCTTGCCCCGAGGTGATCCTGATTCTTAACACGGCATGCTCGCCCGGATAAGTCCCCTTAATTGTTAAACACGTGGATGGTGTCGACGTGAAACTTTGTAATTCGTTTGAAAGCATGAGGAAAGTGTTTCGATAAGCTCCGTTGCCTCGTGACTTGTTTATACCATCGAGGTACTTTGGTGTCATGTAAACGAGATTCGATTTTGCAACCTGCAAGACAATCGAGAATGGCTGACACGGCGAATTCTGAGCTACAACAGGAAGGATTTCTGTACAGAAATCGGACTTATGCAAATCGCGTGAATGGCAGAAATTAAAAATATCTTTAATAAAAGTTAATAATAAATGTAATTTAATTTCTAAAAGCTATAATAAGACCATTTTATTTATCCATTCATATTATATAACGTTATCTATTCCTATTAATCGCGGTTAATTCTTGTAAGTAATGTAAAGCTTATCCTTTTTATAGTGCGTGGCAAATGGATATTAATATTTAATAGTAAAACCTAGAAAAATAACGGGAATTGAAATCGTGTGTGCTTGCGTGCGATATCTTTTATGCATTCAATTAATAGTAAATCACGACGTCTCTATGCAAATGCACAGTCTACGTTCAGATTGTATAAGCGACGCAACGTAACGACCGTTTTGCGGAAAACGAAGAGGGCTTGTACAAGTTACCTGCTGTGTGAATGCAGGATTGGGCCTCTTCGTGTGTGGTCTGGTGTACTGGGCCGGCTTCTCCTTCGGATAGTTGGTGTGGTCGGTCCAGGACTTGGAGCGATGAGAACCGCTGTGTCCCGAGCTGTGGATATCCTCGTCGGACTGTCGTTCTGGCGCGCTTGGCCACGAAGGATACTTCTCGTGTCCCGGACCGTAACACACGCCCTTGAGGCTGGAGGCATCCCTAACTGGCGGCGTCGGTGGTGGCGAAGCCTCGTCTCTCTCGTTAAGAGGAAGCGTGAAGCTGTTGAATCCGAGGTTCTCGCTGTACCTAATGGGACAGACGAGTATGAAAACGTCACGGTTCAAATCAGTGTCAGTTGCACATTGCACGTCCGTGATAACCGGAGAGGCCAGAAATAGCACGCGTGACGCAACGTCCTTTCTACGTGGAAACAATTACGCATGGACGCAAAATCGTCTGTTTATTAGCACCTCGCCCAATGAATCACTCGTAATACGGCACTCTCGACCGCGGTGCTTCTGAGCGCGATGTCATTGAACCACTTTATTACCAGGATGTGTGCGGACTGTATAATTTATGGTACTGTCAACGAGTAACTTGTACGATAATCGGGGTATTTCCCCAATGTTCCGTTTCATTATTATTTTCTCGACAATATACCGTTCACGTAAAAAAAAAAAAAAAACAAAGAGCATATCCTTCTGATTAAATATATACTGATTTGCATTTAATAAATCTTACGACGGAAATCTTATCCTATTATCCTACACAAGTAATCTTATTATTACAGTACTCGAATTGAACCGCTTTATATCGATAATTTATTTTATACACCGGATAATCATTGCTTGCGATAATTCGTGTCGGAAGAGGATGGAAAGAGAGAGAGAGAGAGAGAGAGCAAAGAAGCAGAAAAAGAGAATTGCGTGAGCCAACATTGAGAAAAAAGCGCGCACGTAATCGGAAGCACGTACCCGCAGTCGTTCTTATAGCCCGGAGTATTCTTCTTGTGACTGTCGTTGTAACTGGTAACCGCGGTGGCCTTCTTGCCGCCGTTACCACCCTCGTGATCATTCTCCGTGCTGGACCTCCACCCTTCGTTTCTGCGACGGTAATATTCGTTAAGAGCCACCGACCGAAGCGGACTCTGCTTAAGGCCATAGCCTTCCTGAGAATACGACGTGGCACTCTTGAAATTGGCAGTCTCGCTCCCGTGGCCGTGGCTCGCGTATTTGTAGGACCCCGGGGGACAGGAAGGTGGGCCTGGGGCCTCATCCTGGACGCGATATCCTGGCGGTGACGGTTGCAACTCCGTCATCGTGTAACCAACGTCCCCGCCATCCGGGATACACCTAAGTGAGCAGAAAATTAAAATCGTGAGCTTCGACGTCTCCTGAGATAAAATCCTGTGATTAGACGGTTACATAGAGTAGATTAAGCGATTGCGATTAAGTGTAACAGAATCGAGTGCAACATTTTTACATATTTATGAGGTAGCACGCGTGCATGCAAATTAAATGTTACGTGAATATTTTATCAATCGGATTTAATCTTCTGTAATACTACTAAATCATAATGCTCCCTTTCTCTCTCTCTCTCTCTCTCTCTCTCTCTCTCTCT